AGGAGCAATATTTCTACTATGAAAAAGAAATACAAAAATTGTAGGAAAGTGGTTCTTAGGCCAAAATGGCACTTACAAAAGGTTTAAGAAATATTCCTAAACTCAAAACAAGATAGCCTAAAATATTTGACTATAAATGGATTAGATGACCCAAGAAACTAATAACCCATTTAATGCTCTCTTGAGTGGTGCACCTATCTTCACCACCAAGCCCATATATTTATAGGTCTCGAAAGAAAGAATTCCTTTGGAATTCTTCGATGTGGAATGAAGGAATTGGAATTCCTTCCATAAGAATCGATGTGGGACATGCCACATCAACAGAATGCAGCACATTGTTCTCTGCGTTGCTGTGAGTTTAGAGTTCACCAAATGCGCAAATTGCTTGCCTTGCTCATTTCCCTGCAAAGACAAGTGGTACTGTTGTTATTACAAGTTTCTGCAGAATGGTAATCACTAATCAGTAATTTTAGAGTGCAAAATATTACAATTTACAACTGAAAAATCATTTTGTTTGTAGTGGTATTCACAGTTTTTCAGAAAGCAACATGTTTCTACCCATAGCAAATTTCTAATCTTCTCGATTGATAATTAGTGCAATTTTAGGAGGATACAGGCTCCCTGCAGGTACTGAAAACTGGAAACCATGCTTCCAAATCATACTTTTTTGCAGCTGCATCATTCAGGGAACCAGACACAATTTCCACAACTTGATGAGGAATTTTTAGCTACAAATAGGAAAGAACTAAAAAAAGAAAGTGAGACTCACAATAAACAAAGAGCTTTTCTGAAAAATAAGTTGTGAGGTTAAAATTCTTAAAGACACTAAAATGACACTCTTTTGAACCCTTTTTGCCTTTTTTTTTCCATATACATGTTTCAACATATGAGATATTATTATTACTATTTTGATTTTAAATGTAAACCAGTGCATATCACGTGTCATAATACTAGTATTCTTTAGTTTAATTATTTAATACTCATGGCCACTAAAAGGTAAAGTATACCAATAATTGTATTCGTGATATTGCTTCCCAATTTTGTAAAAGTGAGTTTTTGCTTTTGCTATTAAATTAGTTAACGTAAACACAATTTTACACCATGTTACTTTATCAAAAATCTATTAACCATCAAATTATGGTTATATATGTGTCATTCATAATCATCAGATTTGTTGATTAATACTATTAAACTTGTACCCAAAAAAAAAATCAGTTGATACCAAGTTCATTGCCTGGTTACCTTCCTTTTTTTCCCCCTTTGGAAGGAAAAATAGTTGTTCCAGTTCTCAGTAGCAAAAGAGTTTCTATTTGTTTGACATTAGAAATAGCTTGGTAACATTAACACTTTGACTTTTGTTAGTGGCAGTCTACTATTTAGGGAAGTTGTGTGGTAAAGTAAAATGTAGGAGAGTGAGGTAAAAGAAAACAAAAATAATTTTTCCAAACATATTTGCTTACCATGGAAAAAATTTGGAGAGAAAATGGAAAGTTAGTGATAGTTAGTGATAATTATTTGAAATTTTGTATCTAACTACCATTTTTCATTCAAAAACCTACAAATTTTGTATGATAAAAAATGCAAGAAAGTGCAAGAAAATGCAAGAAATTTTTTTTTAATTTCTTTTTTCTTGCCAACAAAACATGCATGAAAAAAAAGTAACTAACTGATTCCTTTACTTTCCAACACTTTTCCTTCAAAATAAATACTAACTAAAAGAAAATGGAGTTTTGCAAAAATTGAAGTACCAATATTGATATCTATATCTTTATGAGTACGTGTGTGTGCGCGGGGGCTTTTTTCTTTTTTTCTTTAGCTAGCCAACCCAATGAAATGTTATCTTTTTCTTTTGTTATATTCAAATTTCATTCACTTTTTTTCTTTCTCCATAAACAATAGTTCATCTAAATTAACTTAAAATGATGAAAATGAGGTACAAATAACATTTTGCATTTGCAATGTTATAAAATAAAAAATGTTAGGTCAAGATCTCAAAAATTAGAGGTGTTGGGTTCAAATTCCCCTTCTTCCCCTCCCCCGCTTTCCCTCTTCTGCCACTTCCTTCTCGCTTCTTAAATCTTACCTCTTTTCTACTGGAAAATTAAATAAAACATAGGATTAATGATAAAAGGAACTTTGTCTTGCATAATCAACTTTCAATAAAGATAACTGATAAGTATGTATTTTGAGTGGTTTAAGTGTGTTTTATTATCTAGTTTTGGTGTATTTTATTTTTGTAGATAATTGATCAGGTTTCTAGTGAAAGTATGCATTTTATGGTCTAAGTATAACAAATTGCATTTCTATGGGTTAAAGTGGTGAAAACTTCATGTTTTTGTAGGTTTCAATGATTCAATTATCAAATAGAATGAATTAAAAAGATAGTTGGATAATTGTTGATAATTTGAAAGGATTTAAAGAGAATATGAAGTGTAAATGTTTAAGAGATGAAATGCAATCAAGTATAAAAGAAATGGAGTTTGGCAGTTTTGATACCTATTGATATTTCGATTATATCTTGAATTACAAGTATCGGATTAAGGTGATTCTTGAGTTATTTTGAACCTAATACATAGCTATACATTTCTTATGAGATATAGAAATCCAATTCATGATATTTTCTAGTCAAAATACATTCGACCATTTTTTGTTATCAAAAGCTGAAATAGAGTTTTGACTAGTTGAGGGGTATTTTGATCATTTATCAGTCTATAGAGCTCCAAATTAGATGATTCTTGAAGTATTAGAAAGCTAACTCAAAGAGTTACAGCTTTAGTGTTTTACACAAGGGCTAGTTCATCCTCTATCATATAGCAGTTGAAGTTGATGCAAAAATAAAGCAAATTTAAAGACTAATCAGAAATGAGAAAAAGGCAAAACATGGGGTAATACGCGACCTCATGCCTACGTTTTGTAGCCCGCATATTCTTCAAATGAAGCAGTAACTTGCAATTCAACTTGTTATGCATTCACACAAATTTTCCAACCATGCTTCACCTCAAAATTTCAGCTGTAGTTGTAAAGAAAAGTGTGAAAACTTGGAGAAACACTTTTTGGTGATTTCAAGAGACAAATTTGCCAACTAGAAACAAGTTACTTAGAACTTTAATTCCTCTATAAATAGGGCCTTTGTTAAGCTTGTTTCAAAATTTGGAAGGCTAAAAACACTACCAAAATGTAGTTTTCATTAGTTTTTATAGTTCATTAGTTTAGTTCATTAGTATAGTATAGTTAGTATAGTTTATCTTTCTTGAACTTGTAGCTAGATTTAGATGAAAAATTGAGGTGCAAAGATGGAGAGTTAAAACTCAAATGACAAGGGTGACTTCTCTCCTACCACTTCCTCTTTTGTATTTAATTTCAAGCTTAATTATAATACAAGTTTGAATTTTATCATGTATTGTTAAAGTTTATGCCTAGAGTTTATGGATGAACTTTCGATATCTTGTTAGTGATATTTATTTGGTTATTTGATGATATTATTTTGAACAAATTATTAATCACTTTTGCTTATATAATCATGATTAACTGGCTATTAATTGTGATAATTTTAAGGTGTTAAGTTTGCAATCAGAATTGGAATTTAATATTAGTTCAAGGAAGTGCTAAACTTAGGGAGTGCACCTACAAGAGTAGAGATGCACCTTTGTGGATTTAGTGGCTTGTTTCATGTAATTTCATAGAAAAAATGAACTTGTAGTTAATTTCATAGTTACGAGAATATGTATGAATTAGTTATAAGTATAGTTGATTCACTAAGAGAATAAATTTTACATACATTAGGAAATTACTTCATAATTAATCAAAATAATAACATTCAACTAACCGTTAATTTCACTTGCAAGACTAGTTAGAAATTTCATACCTCTAGAAGTTTTCTATTATTATTTTTATTACTTTTATTTCATGTTCGTAGTGTAGATTTAATTTTTTGCACTTGTAATCGTCTAACTAATAAAGAAATTTGAAAACCACTGGTAATTGATAATCTTTTCTGTGGGATCGACACCTAATATCCCGTATACACGATAAAGACCTGTATACTTGTAAAAAACGGAGTGTTTAGATTTTATTAAAATTTGATACATGGTAGAATCTTATCAAAAACATAAAGACAAATTGATGAAAAGCAGCCGTGAGATATTGATCAATAACATGGCAGAATAAAAGTATAGTTGAGTTTGAAATACGATGAAGTAATATATATTTTAACCACATAACTGGTTTAAATGCATGTCAAATTAATATTGCAAGTTAACTCTTAGTAGAGAAGTACACCACTACGCACAGGCAATAACTAATAAACTAAAGCCATAATTATTTTGTCGGCGATAGTGGGTAAATGGCATCTCTTAATATATTCAAACTCAAAAAAAAAAAAAAAAAACTAACCAAACCACTAAGCAATTTATGCAACTAACCACTTCATTATCTTTTTTTTTGTTTTGATAAAATGCAAATTTAATTAACAAATTACTGGAGATCGTCCACCATAATTTGATTTACATCATAAAAATTTATATTAATTGCAAGTTAAACCTGCACTATAAATAACATATCTATAATTTAATAGATACAAAGATTTCAAAAATTATGTACAAGTCTAGTTAGAACTGGAAATTATTCCGAAGCTAGTTTTAAAGAATAAAGTTGCATTTATTAACTTGCATTTAACTTGAGCTGAATTTAGTGATTTGTATTGGAATTAACCCACCCCAAAATCACACCAAATCCCTAGATTCCTTTCCTAATTTGATTTCCAAACATTTGCTTCCTCAATTTGATTTTTCTTTTATCCCAATCCTACAGCCTTAATTCTTGACCTAGTAAACAAAAAATTAATTAGTCGAGGAAAGTTTCTAAATATAAAATTATAGAGCTCATTATGTCCCATTGACTTAAAATTAGCCAACAGCGTGTAGGCCCCACTCCCCACTTTGATCTTTCTTTTTCTTTTCTAAGATTTAAGTAAAATAAAATACCATAATTACTACCGTTCAAAACCCGCTACTTCTTAATTCTTTTCTTCATCCCCAGCAGCAGCAAAGCATCCAATTGTCCCCCAAGATTTCTTCTATAATTTCTTCAAATTTTTCTGATAAGCGGTTGTAAAAGAAATAGAAAGATTAAAAAAAATGGGCCAAATTTGGAGTAAAAGGCAGCAAAATCATCCCCACCACCACCACCACCACCGCTTTCAGCACCCGCCACCACCGCCGGCACCACCGCAACCCCAACCAACCCAACAACAACCGCTTTCTTCCTCCTCCCCACCATCAACCTATGCTTTTGCTGCCAATGCCCCATATCCCGCCCTCCATCCGCCGGTGCCCGCGCCTCCTCCGCCGCCGCCTCCACCACCTTATCACCCCTCCACCTCTGCTCCCTATTACACCAACTATAGTTACAACTATTCCAATTACTCGAGACCCCCCGTTAATATGATGGGGGCTCAGTCTAATTACCATAATCCTTACTATGTAGGAGGCCATGGTAGTGGGTGGTTCCGGCCGCCGCAGGCCGCGATGCTGCTGGCACCGTCGCCGCACTTGCAGCCTCCGCCGCCTGCTCCGGTGCCGTACGTGGATCACCAGAGTGCTAAGAAGATCAAGAATGATGTGAACGTTCATAAGGATACTATAAAGCTTGAAGTGGATGAGGGGAACAGAGATTGCCACTTGGTTTCCTTCACTTTTGATGCCATGGTTGATGGAAGGTATTGAAATTTGCAATCTTCTTTTTGAGAGTTATTCAATATTCACTTTGGATTTGTGTTGATATGATTTGGGATTTTGGAATTGATTCTGATCTTTAACTAGGGGAAATGAATGCCAATTGGATGAAAATAGCCGAATTTATTGGTGTGGTAGTTGATAAGCTACTGCATTGCTATTTAGACAATGAAATAATAATTGATAGATCAGAATCCAGATCAATGAATGGAGGATGTTGTTGGTTGAGTAGAATTAGTTATTAAAAGCTACAGGCTTTCTTGATGAATTATAAGAGTGTCAATCAGTACTTTTCCATGTAGCTACTTGTGGTTGTAAAAAATGATTGCTGTCTTTTAGCAGGTGGACATGATCTGTTTGAATTGTTTTAATTAAGAAAAGTGTTGGATGACCTCATTGTATGGGCGGTGGTAGCAGAAGATTGATGTTAGAGGTTCTCAATATTAGTATGAGGTTGTTGATTGTTAAGAGTTTGATTTTGCAAGAACGAGACTGCATATAAATAGAATTTGAAACTCCTGATAGGTCTTTCAAGAATTTGGTTGGTCCTTTGGCTGTGTAAGGTGTTAGAATGTTTAGCAAGAGGCAGGATTCTTTGTGTTCTATTGCTGCACAACAATGATTTGTTGATGAAAATGAGGTTATTATCCTTTGGCAGACAGACATCTATAGAAGTGCTGCAGGGCTATAAATTACCATCCACTGATCAAAAAAACTACCGTAATACTGAGCAATATCCTGGTTAGAGTTTATAGTATGTTTAAAGAGAGAATGTTCAAGTTATGAATTTGTTTATGCCGCAAGTAAGGGCATGATTTAAGTTGTATCTCTAAAATTATAGAGCTGTAGGTATTATGCATTTTGTGCAAAAAAGTTGATTTTGGGAAGACTAGAAGACTACTTGAAGCTCATCGTGAAATTGGAAAAGTAGTAAAATGTGCTTACATATTCCAGAGTCTGCATCATTTGCCCCAGTAAGTAATTACAAAATAAACTATACCTCCCCACTCTTTCTAAGAAAATGAAAGAGGGAGGTGAGACCAGCACTAATGCCTATAAGTTTGGGTCATGAACTTGAAGACTAGAAACTTGGCTTGGTTGCATCAAATACGTGTCAATTAGATTACATATTGTTGAATAATGTTTAATGCTAGCAAGGATCGAATTGTTTGGAAAAAAATTTGGTTGAATGTGAAAAATGTCGAATGTGATATTCTGGTTTGTTGTTTTTCTTCTTGAGATATTACGCTATGTTCAGTTTGTGAAGGATATATTCTTAATTTTGATTATGCTAAGAAGGGTGACATGCTGAATTTTGGATTTATATGTCTGAAAGAGGAACCAGGAGATCGTTTTATAATGTAGACTAGTGTAGGATATTTCTACAAATGCTTCGTTGTTATTTGCTGTAGCCACTTAATGAAATCGAAATACTGTTATTGTTGAACTTTTCATTGTGAAGTGGCGTTTTCAACATTTGATTTATTTATTTGCCAATATTGCTTGTAATAGTCCATTCAGGGTATGATGTGTCTAGTTCCAGTCCTTCTGTTTGATCATCTAAGCTTGCAATTACCCTAGTGTATATGTTTTTTAGCTTGAATGGATTGTGCAGTTAAACAGAGTAGAAAATAGTGTTTTGCATTTGAATCCTGGAGATCTCGCTGTATATATATTCTCTCAGCAAGGGAACTTGAACATCAAGTTCAGTTCCATCCATTAAGATGCTCTACATTGACTCTATCGCATGTGAGTTTCCAATGAGTTTACTATCTAGAAGAGGACAAGTTAATTTGGTGTTGACCACTTGAACCATGTAGAACTTCAGCACCTGTATCTATATGATATAAATGGAAGCATACTATTTCACAATTGAGTATTAAATGACTTCAGCTGGTTTATGCTTAAAAAAATCCTAACTTGCTAGTGAATCATTTTTTTTTTCTTGTTACGATGGTGTACTTTCCTACATGAATAGCAGATATATTGATTTGAACATCTTTCTTTCTGCAAAGTAAATTCATTCGTTAAGAATTATAAGTCTATATAAATAATAGGTGGTAGTGGATGATAGATTCTAGCTCTTCACTAAGGAAACTATTTTGGGCAAACTAGTGTAACTCTTGAACTCTGCAATGATCAAAAGCATTAATATATCCCTTTTTTATCACTTCACACTGTAATTATAGCTAGAAAAGATGTATGTAGAGTTTTTTTATTAGAAGTAAAGAGATAGATCTCACTTAATATGAGTTGCAACTTGACCTGCCCAAAGCATCTCTTCTTGCAGAAATTCGTGTTCTTATTCAAGCTTCCCTAACAAACAATCAGTTAATTGTGTTAATCCTTTTAAGAAGTTTAATGTTAATGATTCAGGTTGTTTAATAGCAGGATTGAGCATATTTATCAAGTTCCTTTTAGTCTGAAAGCTATATTTAGTCTCAATCTTGAGTCAGACTCATTTTCAACTGACCATAGATTGGTGAGGTAGATGGATAGGATCTCATGACTGTACTTATATTTTGCATTAGATTGCTTAATAATGATACTGTGTGTATGATAAAGACATCTGGTTCATTCATGCCAATGTTCCTGAATTTTGCTTGGCTAGCTAGTTGAGTCTGAAAGCTGTATTTGGTCTTCTTGGTCTGAAAGCTGTATTTGGTCTCAATCTTGAGTCAGGCTCATTTTAGACTGACCATAGACTGGTGAGGTAGATGGATAGGATCTCATGACTGTACTTATATTTTGTATTAGATTGCTTAATAATTATACCGTGTGTGTATGATAAAGATATCTGGGTCATTCACACCAATGTTCCTGAATTTTGCTTGGCTGGCTAGTTGATTTAATCTCTTATTCTATGGCATATGGTTTAATTAACTTAGTTTACATTTAGGATCTACTTAGATATTTTACTTGAAATATTGTTATAAATAAGAGACCTTGTAAGAGAAGAAATAGTTTTCAAGATTACTCCCTTCAATACAAATTTTTTGACAAACTGATAAATTCATTTTTAAAATTTCCTTCTTTTCTCCATCTTTTCTTGAGAAAAGAGCTATCTCAGCACTCAAAGAATGTATTTTTGGAGTGATTTTATCTGTTTTCGCTATTTATCATGGTTACTATTTCCATATGCCCTAAAGTGTTTGTCTTGGTTTGAAAAGTCAAAGAAACACAACTACTTTGCCATCTTATCCCTTTTACACTATTTGCTGTGGTATCCAGAAGTAGTGCATGAATAAACTCTACCGAACTATTTTAGTGTTTGATGGCACTTAAGGGGAATTAATTGTCTGTGGATATGGAACTATTTTTGGAGTGATTTTGTCAGTTTTCGCTATTTATCATGGTTACTATTTCCATATGCCCTAAAGTGTTTGTCTTGGTTTGAAAAGTCAAAGAAACACAACTACTTTGCCATTTTATCCCTTTTACACTATTTGCGGTGGTATCCAGAAGTAGTACATGAATAAACTCTACCGAACTATTTTAGTGTTTGATGGCACTTAAGGGGAATTAATTGTCTGTGGATATGGGTCAGACTGTAACTGTGTGCAGTTGTCCATCACATGTAAAATGAGATAGAGGGTGTATTATATGATGACTTCTTTACCCTTTCTGTTTGTTGCCTTGTAATGATTTTACTGCTCATTATCTTTGATATTTATTTTCTTGATGACAAGTGGTGAGATAGCTTGTCCTTGATGGAAGGTGCATCTTATGTGGTCTTCGATAGAAACTTTTGTAAGGAACTTGATTCACTCAAATTTATAATGCCATGGTTTAGATTTGGCTTACGTGGTTACATAAGCTTCAGCCAAAATTTGGCTGATATAAAAGATTCTTTTCGAGTTGTATCTTGATAGGCAAATTGTAGAAAACTTTATCACCAATTAATTTACATTGCATAAATGCAGTGCACTAGTAGTATAGGAACAAAATTTGGAACCTTCACTGTTGCAATATTAATATTAATCTATACGTGTAGATATATATAGCTACTTGTCTATAAGCAACTTGAAAGTGTGCTGATCCTGGAATAGTCTCCTGCACAAAAGTTCAACGGCCTAATATAACAAAGAGTTCTACTGAATCCACTTAAATTTCAGCTTTGTGCCTAATGCATGGGATGATTGTCCATGTGTAGCTGTTGAGACTTAAGTAGCCCTATATTGGTGCTCTTTTTTATACTGATAGATGGTATACATCCCCTGTCCGACTTTATTATTGGGAACATAGAATTGTCTTCGACTTTTTGAATAATTCCACACTTTCTTTTAATGTTCTTCTGACAAGAAGTTGGAGGGCATATCCAAATTTGCCAGGTATAAATTTGGTAGAATCTTAGCTAGCTGAATCATTTTGTGCACTGGTGGTCAGATTCGAATAGGTTGCCTATTGAGCATTTTTACCATGTCTCCTGATCCTTTTGCTTTCAAGAATACAGTTTAAGTTGATGCAATCAAACTTCCACTGTTCTGTCATGGAAATTCTACTGAGCCATTATTATCACATTGGCTTAATTGAGATTTGATATATGATGATTTATTTGGTTCCATCCGCTTGCACAAGCACAATGCTGGATTTCCTGGAATTTGAACTTCAATGTGCTGTGCATGTTTTCATTTCCTTTGTGGAGACTTAGGTATAGATACCTATGGTTTCAGGAAATTAGCACCTTTGAGATTATTGAGTGAGTACAATAACAGTAGTCTAGGAAATCATTGCGAAATTCTGAAAGTTAGTTTCAGAAATTTGTATTTTACTCTCTGATGAGGGAAGACTGTTTTCCTGTTTTACTTGGGTTACACTAGCTAGCAAGTGAAATGGGTTTTTGGCGCACCACGCAACCTTTCTAATACTTTCCTTCTAATATTTGGAACTATAGGAATCTCCAAATCTTCTTGGCTTATCTATTACAATACTGAGAGATGGCAGGGTGTCTCTGGTTCATTTCTGTCCTTTCAAAAATCAAATGTCTCTGTGGTTTCTTAAGAATTCTTTATTTACCATTTGTTGAGTTATTTGTGTCTGAAATTTTGGGGGAAGTGGTCTTCATATCTTTCTCCTGAAGTCTGAGCTTCGGTCATCTATTGAGTGTTGACAACAAACTTGTGAAATCTTTGGAGTTATCTGCATATTGTTAACTGTTGATTGTTTTTCTCTCACGATTTTGGATTCTGAACTTCAATTTTCTCTTATGAATAAATTTTCACTTGTTTTATTATTTGTCTGAGTTCCTTCTTAAAGGCATTGTTTCTTGTTCTTTGGTTACAGTATCACCATTTACTATTTTGCAAAGGAAGGAACCAAATGTACATTCAATCCTGTCCATCCTGAGATGTACGTGCCAATGAAAATTCCTTTCCAGAAAGGATTGGGTCAGAAATTCTGCCAGCCTTCAGGAAGTGGAATTGATCTTGGGTTCTTTGATATAGATGACTTATCAAAGCCATCTGCAGGAGATGTTTTCCCTCTTGTGATATCAGCACAATCATGTTTGTCGTCGACATTGATGGAAGATCAGCTCAATGAGGAAGCAGTGAATACATCTCCTCATGCGCAAATTACTCAGGCGGTTATAGAGAAGAACAATGATGACCATTTCCAGGTTAAAGTAATCAAGCAGATTCTGTGGATAGAGGAAATTAGGTATGAGCTGCGGGAGATCTTTGGCATCAGTAACTCAGATGAACAAGCTATAAATGACAAGGACTTGGGAAAAGAATGTGTCATTTGCATGACTGATCCAAAGGACACAGCAGTTTTACCATGTAGGCATATGGTAAGCATTTTGCTTATACCCTTTTCTTGTTCAGAGGTTCAAGTTACATCTAAGTTTTTCTGCTAAGTAGAAAGAAGCATTGTAGTTTTAGGCTACTTCATTTAAGTAGTTTCTGTGCTAAGAATGCTGAAAAGTTTCTTGGGGCCTGCGGGGCTTTGCTTCTCATGAGATTGGGTTAGGGTCGGCTCATAAACGAGGCTGGCAGGTGGTCTTTTGGGCACACAAAAATCAAACACTTAATTGGTTTAATTTTATGATCTAATTAATCTGCAAAGCTTGCTTATTGAGATTTTTGTGCAGAGGCAAAAAACTCTTAGTAGGAAGCATGTTTCCAATACCAGCCCATCTAATCTCCAGTGCTTTGAAAGAAAAGGAACAAAGATGGAAATTTATGTGAATGCAACTAAAGAAGTTAATACATAGTCTAATCACGGAAGACTATCACGCTTGTCTCCTCTTGATCCATCATGTTCCTTTCTAGTCTATATGTCTTGTTTAATATTTCTCTTGCATTTCAACTTCTTTAACACATGTCTTGCATTTTCAGTGTATGTGCAGTGAGTGTGCCAAAGAATTGAGGCTGCAAACAAACAAGTGTCCTATATGCCGCCAGCCCATCGAGGAACTTCTGGAGATTAAGGTTGATGAAGGTAATAACCAGATGTTTGCGTAACCTATCGATATCTGTTACTTTTTCTTGCATTGTTTACCTTTTAATTGACTTGCTTTCTGCTTCCTTTGGTAGCTGTTTCATGAGCTGGTTTTCACAAGGGAACTTGTAACTGTACAAAATCACAAGAATATTTCACAGGTGACTTAAGCTTCTGTACGAGTGGGTTGGCAGAGTACCAAATACACATGACATTCGGGGCATTCTGGTTTTTAGCGCTTGTATATTGAATAAAGAGGAATAATTGATTCTCTTTGGTTTTATTTCTTGATTTATATATAGCTTTCTCTATATTCTCATTTGTTCAGAAAACTTTTGTTTGGTTTCCTTTTTGTCATGTTAACATGTTTAACCGAGCAAGAATGCAAATCGTTGCTTCCTGGATCAGTAAGCAGTCAATGGGTATGTATATGAAAGAAGAATACTTGGCTGGGAATATTTGCTGAAGAAGTAAAGTTTAAAGGTTGACTGAAACATTTTTTTTAGTCTTGAGTCTGAGGTGACAAAAGCCTGGAATACTGTGGAAAAAAGAAAAGGAACTTGTCACGTGTGAAGGGAACATAATTTGTTTTTGAGTAGAGATAAAGTGAAAGGAATCGGTTATAATCCCCAGGTTGAGTATCTGGATCTTGTTACCTTTGTTTGTTCTTGGCATGGGCAAAAGTTTGATTCTTCTTCCCTAAGTGCTGCAGTGCCTTGGTCCTTGTCTATGTAGTCTTTTTTTAGCTTTGCTGACCAAAGAAATGACAGATAGAAAGAAAATCAAAGTAAAAGAATTGACATTCTGCCTATTTCTGTTTGGGCTTGGTTTATAAGTTTTGCTTGCAGCTCCCTGCATGACTGCAGTTTGCCAAGAACTGAATCTCCTTTTTCTTTTTGTTAACTCATCAGTTCATCACGACAGCACAAACAAGCACGCGCACACAAACATATAATGCACCCTCACAACAGCATAATGTTGTACAATTTTGTTTTTACTTTCAATCCGTCTTCTTTATGCTGTAACATCTAAGACAACTGTGTAGGAGTTGGTTTTCATCATGTTTGGATTGTTATAAAATCATGTTTTCCCTATTTTCGTTGTTTGGATTGTGGTTTTTTGTAGAAAATTTTTTACATTTTTTGTGAGCATAATTTCAATCATCTTTTTATCTTATATACATTAAATTTTTATCATATATTTTTTTATTAAAAAAATTCCTCAAAATAGCAATTCAAACTAATAACTAACTAATTTATAGGCTTGTGGAGTAGTAAGGCTTTTTATGCCTCACAGAGACCATTAGAAAAGTACATGAAGAGGTTTCATGATCTTTGAAATTCATATCCCATCTTTTATTACAGTAGTTTGTATTTCCTCCGTCCCATTATTATTATCATTTTTCACTTTATTAATGTCTTAAAATAAGAGTCATTATTTCAAATTTAGCACATGCTTTCCAATATTGTCATTTGAAAAAGCAACTTTTGAAAATTTCAATACACATCTATCAAAAGTATATTTTGAAGTCAAAGGATATTTTTGTTAATTTACTAATGTCATCTCATCTAGACATAATAATTACCATATGTTTTAGTAAAAAATTGAATTTTCAAGTAGGTAATTGTTTGTGACTTAAAAATTTACAACTACTAGTTTTGATGATTTAATGGTAGATGGAGGGTAATTGGCTTGGGGGTCCCATTCCATTCCTGATGTACTTTCTGGTAATCTGAAAACTGGGTCCCCAACACTCAGATCGGGTCGAATGGGTTTGGACTATGACAAACTTGTCAATTGTCATGGGGCTTCATTATTCTTCTTAATGAACCTGCTCCATTGAACTGGTGGTGGACCATGCCCATTATTAAAACCTAATTTTGGCGTTGCTCGGCCCCGGGTCCGACAGGGGCCGCCTTCGTGGGGAGGATACCGAGGAAAAAAAATAACAAATCACTTGTATGCATCACACTGCAGCCATAAATAAAGCTGTCTCCTGATGCCTCTGGCGCTTGTCCAGTAGTTACACAACTAGGCAAGGTTAGCGCTGCAAACGAACGGAGTGAGCTCACCAACACTCATGAGCAGCGCAATTTGATCGACACTGAATTCGAGTCGAGTTCATGCAAGTCTTCAAGTTGAGTTTGAATTTAAAAATAATTTGATTGGAAGGCTTTTTGAGCCTTATAACATACATTTATTTAATTATGTTTTATATTTATTAGAGTAAACTGCATTTTTTGTCTAGTTTAAGAAATATTTCATTTTTATGTGAACTCAAGTAAGTTCGAGTTCAAGTCCAACTAAGTTCACACTCGAGTTCGAATCTGATGCTATAAAGTCAACTTGACGTGCATTTGAAGAGTATGTTCATAGAAAACTCTGAGTTCGAGTAAATTTGAATTCGAGTCCATTTTGAGTCTAGTAATATTGAGTTGAGTTAACTCGACTCAATTTGATGTATATCCAAAGAGCACCATGCTTTTCTCAACTATTTTTCCACTTTATGTATAGATTTATATTTTTAAAAAAAATGGTACAGTAAATCTTTACTAAGAATACCTGAAAACAATTATCCAAAGTCGTAGTAGTACCTTGTATGTTACTACCGTTCAATGAATGTGATTGATTAGTTATTAAAACCACCACACAATATTAATATTATTTGGATAGAGTATTATTTGAAATAATTATTATAACTCTATTTGTGATGTGATGCACGTGAGATAAAAGGATGGTTGAAAATATAAAAAGATGAATTAGAAAATGTATTTATGATACAAGCGAAATAGTTTTTGACAAAATTTAATATCCAAACAAAGCATTGGATGTCACTAATGTTCAATGAATGTGATTGATGAGTTGTTTAAACCACCACACAATGTTTTGGATGACAAACGAGCTCTAATCAACACAATTCATAAACTGTGCGAGGACTAAGGAGCTCAAGAACACAAAATGGGACTCAAGACTTGCGTGTCAAACCACAAATGAGCTCTGATGTGCACAAGATGAAACACGAGAGAGGTCATGTTATTGATGAAGTTGTGATGGACCTAACCCCAACCGAGTTTGTCAAGCTGCGGCGTGACTTTTTGAGTCATTACAACCACCATTCATTAACTTTGAGCAAGTCACTTTCTTCCCTGTTACAATTACAAGAGATTGAATCAGTGTAGTGTATGATTCTGATTCTAAAACGATCAACATCATCTCAGCTACCCGGTAAATGAGCTCCAATCAGTATTAGATTATGTCCTAGCTATAAGCATCATATCAAAACTGTGGTTTCTGGAGCTGTTAAATGGGAAGAACCAGCTCTCAAAACCAGATAAGATCAAGTTATGGAGAGGATTGATTGAGGGCGTAATCCAGTTGAATTGGTCAAGTACTAAAGTTGGTTGACGATTTATGGCCCTTCATTAGGTTTGAGTATGTCGCTGTCTTCTTTGTTATCCTCCATAATGCAGGGTGGGTTTAATGATCAAAAAAGGATAAACAGAAACAGTAGTATATTTTGTTCACTATAGCTACCGTAGTTAATTGGGTAATGATTAGAATTGGAAATGAATAATGCTTGTCGTCTTGGATCGCACCAAAGGAAAAGTGTTATCTTTAATTCCAAAAATAAAAAATAAAAATAAAGTTTGGTAAAAGAACGTGCGACTTTTGTGAGAGTTAAACATCAGAGTAATCTTGTCGATATTGCAACTTTGAAAGATTTATTTTGTTTGATTGCTCATTCTTGAACAGTTAAAGCCGAGTGTGTCATTTGATAAGAGGTTCCTAATTCCTTGTCCAATTCAAGAATCTCCTTTTGAATCTTGTGCCAGCAACTTGATAATCCAATAATTTTTAATTCTCATTCAACCGGTAACTTTTCTAATCGACTTGGTAAGTGGTAAATTATGTATTAAGATTAGTTTTTTACAAATTCAAAAGATTTGATTTTGTTAATCCTTTGCTTCCATTTCTTGTCTCCCAACTCCCCAAAACCCCACTAAATATATGTGTGGATCTAAAATTTGTTATGAAAGCAAGAATTAATTCAAAGTTGTTAGCTTCATTTTCCCTCCATCGTACGATAAGGCCTCTATAATACGGTTTATCTTTCTAATTTCCCAAGAGGCGATAATTAACTCATTAGTTGTTAGAATGTTAAACACGCCAATTAACTCAACTAAAACTTGAGAATTTAGCTCAACTAGAACTTGAGAATTAATCTTTACATTAAAAATTTCCCAGTTGAAGGGTAAGAGTCCTTAATCTCGTTTCCCCATGCAATAATCCTCTTAATTAACATCTTTGTTTGAAAGAATTTTTGTTGCATATATAGTAATATACTGTACAGTATGGACCTTCACCTACGCAAGCAAATTGGTCTAAAGCTCTTATCATTGTCGGTATTTATTCTACTCACTGCTCTGGAAGCAGCAAAACTATATATATATATTCTTGAAGAAAAAGAGTCATGAAAAGAAAGAAATCCAGGATCTGGCAATCTGAGTTACGTGTTAGCAGAGAAGAAGCTGTTGTTCTGATGGGAAGGAATTGAAGGGCTTCTGTCATTGATTGGATTTTGAAAACTGTAAAGATGATTCTTCAAATATTATCTTCAGAAATGTGGATGTGGAGTGGAGTTGACTAGCCAGCCTAACCAGACAAGATGTTTTTTTACCAAACAAAAGATATGGGATCTGTCAGGTTGGGCACAGTGGTGGTTGAAAACTTGAATAAATTTGCTGCTACACAACAACAGAACTGAATTGTCTCAGTACGCAGTACTGTAGTGTAGTCCACACTCCATTCACGATTTCAGTAGTAAAAATGGACAATTTGATCATTTATTAATGTTCTTGATTTTTCATTGGTTCTTCATCTCAGCAGTCTTTAATCAATGGGCACATATCATCCACATGAATTCTTTAAATCCTATCACGAGAAGGGTCAAACTCAAACCCCTTATTGGGTGCCAAATTCTGTCTACAAATGCACTACAATTTGCTGTAGTATTAGTTCCATTCATGCAAGATTTCAGGAGATTTGCTTCTTGTCCAGTGGTGCTTTGGATTGATCATGACCTAATCCCCTTTACTTCAGAGGATTACCAGTTTCATAACAAAGACTATATATATGCACCAACACTGAACCAAGTGGGATTGAGCTTGGGATTCTTTATAACTGTATATCATCAAATGGAAACTTTTTACGTTTTGAAAATTTAGCCAATAGTCTCTCTCATTGTGTTGCAGCTGACTCTTTAAATTAAGTTCGCTTTTTTTTTTTGGTAACCCAGAATATGTCCCTACTCGAACCCTTAGGATCACGACTCCACTCAGCGAGTCCGGACGAGTCACGAGAGTTCAAATTCAGGGTAAGATTCAAATCCAGAACCACAAGAATATATGAAATTAAGTTTGATTTGATAAATATATTACAGATGAAAATGAAAGTACGAAATTTCTTACTTCTCTAAGAAAAGGAAAAAGGGG